GTGTGGCGTGCCACACCCCACGCTTGACCCTGGTTACGACCCAATATTGATGCCGGTAGTGATTTTTCTTGCTTCATTCAGAGTAGGCTAAACTTGAAGCAGCATCCTGCCAAGTCGCATCTATATGTTTCAGGGGATTTAGCGAAAGCTTTTGGCCGCGTACCTTCCATTCATTCTCCCGATACATCAGCTTTATATGAAGGAAAACCTGCAGAGAGGTAAGCAGTCATATACTGAACTAGTAAACATAAATTCGTTGATTTAGTGAGTACGTGGCTAGCACTGGCAATGCTGTTCAACCGGAGGAAATCAAAGCAGCTCAAATTCCCGAGAAGCTAGAGCTGGATGTCGAGCGAGAACCATCTGAGCATCACTACGCAAAGCCTATGATTGTCAAACCAAATTTGCCTCCGCAAAGGTCTGCCCATCTTTTAACCCATGGGTGATGCCAGTCTCATCTGTGGTCTTCCAGAATGTCAGTGATACATCCGAACAATGGTCAGCATGGGTATTACGTGCAGCAGCACAGGCGTAACTATAGCGAGCAGCTCTATCGTGGCAACGTATGTTTGATTCAGTTTTGCAAGAGCTCGAAGGCATTGTGTCGACAGAAGTCAGGCTTCGAGTTTTCATATTTTTGGACCCCTAAGTCCACAGGCTCCAGAAGAAGTCTTTAACCGGATAGTAGTTCCCGGAAGTGTCTTTGCTTTCTTGAGCGTTATCGGCGGTGACTCGCACCGCACTCAGATTCTGAAGCCGAGAAAATAATTTTTTTTATCCGTACCTGAACTTGAAGTCGAAATCTGTCTAATATTTTATGTAACTGTTTTTCTAGGATCAGGTTGATGGTGAACCTATATACGCTCGGGTTCAACGCATCAGTACTAATCAGTACCATTCACAAGCTCCTCAACAGGTAACCATCGCTAATGTAGTAGGACACGGATCGTTGTTTGGTCAAGTACTCGCGTTATTTTACAAGTCTCAAAGATTACTGGCAAAAATTTCGCAATCATCCTTCGCTGTGTCCGCTAAAAATAATGATTGAATCGAAATCATATTTTTGAGCAGGCTTATCCGGTGCGCTCTGGAAATGCAGCTTCTGCAGATCGAGCATTCAGTGAAGAGGAGAAAGTCAATGGAGAGATTGATCGCATGTTTGATTTTGTGGAGGTGAGCCACTGTCTCTTTTGCCATAAAAGTTGAAAGATATTTTTAGCAAGAGCAAGATGGGTTGAGCACAATCGGGCATAAAACAGTATCGGAACGAACCTCAGCCATCGTCAAGACTGATGCATATGGGAATGTACAGGGTGAAGGCCATAACCAGCTTCCAGAACTACCTCCATATCCACCTCGACCAGCAGCACCTCTACATTTAATCGATCCGGCTGCTTCACAGCACACTAACCAGCCGATCAAGTACTCGGTAGGTTGTCTTGAAGGGTCTGCCTTTGGTCTACTGCCGTTTTTTAATCAAAAAGTGTCTCCCAGAAAATCAGCTTTTTGGTCCCTTCATGTGGATCGAGGGCTGAGCTATAATTGGTTGCACGGAATCGCCCAGATTGAATGGCCGCGAGCGTGTCCTCACGGGCTAACATTGGCATTCGCGCGCATGAGTCATCATAGT